CGGGACGGGAAGGGAAGGGAAGGGAAGGGAAGGGAAGGGAAGGGAAGGGAAGGGAAGGGAAGGGAAGGGAAGGGAAGGGATGGGAACGGATAACGCCCCTCGTCCCAGCACGCAGTCGCTGGTCCGGGAAAAACAAGTGTGAAGCGAAGGGTCGTGCTGCCCCAGCCTCCCACCACAACCGCAAGGTGACCTGCTCTCCACCCAGGAGCAATGCGTAACCAGAACGACGGCGTTAACGATGAAACTAAATGCCTTTTTAATGCTAGTTCTGAGCTGTTTGTTCAAAAACAGAGACACAGTCTTTTTACAGCCGTTTTCAACTCATCTTGGCCCTCTTGTAGTTGCCAGTCACTTTCAAAGTGAAAGAGATGTGGGCTGCAGGCTCCTGCTGAGCATCACAGGCATCCTGGTCGACTTGGCTGGGGTGGCCCTGATTTAGGTTGCCATGTGGGAATACCACTGGATGTTTGAGATCACACCATCAGAACACTGCATGGTTCCTGTCATGAGGTTTGGTCCTTGGCATTTTGACCCTGAAGTGATGTCACTGGTCATTTATAGGGTGAAGAACACCCATCAATAGGTGGAAGCATACACATACACTGAAGATTACCAAGCTTTTTATCTATACTGGCACCCACAGTCTATCCCTGTGAGTGCCTCATGGCCCCACATCCAGCCAGCGCACCTCCACATGCCCGTCTTCCCCCAGCCCTGTCTGAGGGCTGCCGAGGGCTGCTGTGCCCTCGCTGGGAGCAGCAGGCTCTGTGAAGTGAGCCTGGAGGTTGTCACCTCACTGACAGCACGTCAGGGTGGCAACTGGTGACGGAATTTCTCCCCCTTCTGTTTGAGGGACGTGTGTAGGGTATGTAAAGTACAGGAAAGGGCTATTATTATTGTATGAGAGCAATCAAAAAGTTAGGACAAACCAGAGCTGATGCTGCTTCTTTGCTCTTCATTCTGCCCTCTTGTACCGATGCATTAGGAGATGGACTTTAATTGCATAACCGCATACTCTTCTTCTTTTTTTCCCCCAGGAGTCCTGTCACTGTAGGACTCACAGACACACTGAGTTTGTTTCCTGTGAAGGAGAGCTGCCTGAAGAACACATGCTTTACATGTTTCCAACATTGAAAGACGTCAAGGTACAAAGTGCAGGCTACAGAAAGTGGCAAGATCAAGTAGTTAAGGCAGAAGAATGCTGCTTTGGAGAGCTGGACTCTATTCTTGCCAGTGATAGAGTCGTACATTATATTAATGAAGTTTTTTCAACGAGACTTTTGACAGTTGTCCAGTAATTTCAGTCCCTCATTTGTTGGAGACTGCCATCAGGGATCTGATCTATAGATGTGCTGAGCCCTGGCTGCAAATGAAGTTATGGGGGTCATGCTTTGTGTGTTTTATAATTCTCTGCACTCTGAGAAATCGAGTCCTTTGAAATCTCTCTCAGATTAAGCACCCAGAATAAGTTTTTTGTAATCTTTGTGCCTCAAGACTGCATCTCTAAAAGAGGGGTGATAACAGGTCCTTTAGCTCAGAGGGGTTTGTGAAAATAAATTTAACAATGTCTGCAAAAATCTAATGATGGCGGTTAGTG